CTATTCCAAGGAATGGGGGCATTGCCATCATCTTCCTGGAATGGAGCCAGGATGCCCCCCACCCAGGAGACTGGACCCCAGTGGTCAAAGGTTCTCAGCAGCTTCAACCGAAAAGAAGCATCCCTTTAGGGATGGGAGGAGCAGGGACCCTGAGGAGACAGGAAAGGGTAACAAGGGAAGGGAGACCACTCAAGGTAGACCTTCTGTGAGCTACAGCTCAACCCATGCAAACAGGAAAAGAATATTTTGAAGCATCCTCTGCACTTCCATGTACTCATGATCTGCATCAGGCAAGACGGAATTCTGGTAATAGCCTGTGTCTTTTCAGATCTCTCATGACACAACTTCTCAGTTACATGATCATTTAAGAAAGACGGCCACTGCGTGAACCCTGTCTACCTCTGCCTGGTTGGAGTCTTCTGGGTGGCCTTTCTATTTCCTTATTGTGCTTTTCTATACTTTCTAATTTTTCTGTAATAGACATGTATTGCTTATATAATAAAAATTGTATTTAAAAACTATCACAATCTTATGGAATGGCTCCAATGTCCTGATATATTTTGAGAATAGACAAGTGCCTCAGAATTGGTCTGTACAGACAGATTGGCTCCCAGCAACTCTGAAATAACCAGAATATTCTATGCTGTGAACTTGTAACAAGGGACTTCTGTTTCTAAAAGGCGCAGATGTTGAAAGGATTATTGTGCTCTCTAGAAATTCTCTGAATTGTGGGTCCCTTTTTTCTGACCAGAGTGCATTCCCTAGGGTGATGCTATCACATCAACTATGGTGAGATGCTATTCAGAATTTCTACTCATGGGCCTGGGAAAGATAGCTGCTAGCATGAGAACCATGAACTTCCAAACTTAAATAGTTTAATGTTCTGTTAACCTGAAATACTCAGGAGGATCCAAATTTCTAGATAGCTGAAGTTTATTTTCATTGTCTGAGCCCACATTTTAGAAAATCAGTCTAAGGCTATCTGTCTACTTTTCAGCCTTATTGAACCCTAAAGAGCGAATTCAACCATTTTCTTCTTCTATTTAGTGTCTGGAAGCTTCCAGACCACTATATTGCAGGTCTGTCTTTTCGTATGGTTTGGAGCTGAGGAAGGGATAGTGATTGGGCTGAAGGTGAGAAGGTCCTTGGAAAAACACCTAGTTGTCATTTTTAGAATGAATTTGAGAGTTTGCTTTCGAGTAGTTAGCATCTTTGCCCTAAAAGCAAAATTTATCCCCATAAAGTATTGATTTAATTTGGCTTGTGTTAACATTGAGAGGCGAGCATCAACTTTCACCATTTAAAAAAAAAATTGTAAGTGACCAACTGAATGAACTGAGTTAATCAAAAGCAATTAGAGATTACCAAAGATGATTACCTTAGAGACAGTTTTTAAGCAGCAACCACAGTAGCTAGTCCCAAGTGTTCACCAGCCCCAAGTGTTCAGTGTCTGTGTTCCAGACAGAGCCTATTACTGGGGGCTGCTCTGAGTGTTGCAAAGCATAAAAGAAATATAAGGTAGAGAGTCTCTACCACAAGGAAATCATCACCTAGCTGACATCAAATGCCATGGTGGCGGAGACAATGAGAAGGGGGAGAGGCATCCTTAGTGCTGTGGAGAGCACAATAGCTTGGGGCAGGTGGCCGGGACCCTGCCTCTGGCCAACTGCTGCTGGAGGCCAGTTGCTCTACATCTCTGGACCTCAGTTTCCTCAAATGAAAATGAAGCATTAAACTCAATTTCAAAAGTACCTTCGGCCTCTGAGATCGCAGAGCTGATGGTTTATTGAAGGAGGCCTGAGCGTGGGCGCCAGGGATTTTGTCATTTGGTGAGTGAGTCAGGCTAGGGGCGTCAGGAAAATAATGCTTTTATCAGCACAAAGGGATAGGCTATTAAGAAGAACACTTAGCTGATGGCTTGTCTGTGCCACTCGCAGGATGTATTCCTGAAGAGGGATGGGGTGACTCATCAGATGCTGTAACCTGATGAAATAGAGCTATCCAATTTCCTTGCTCTGATTCCAAGCAACCACATTATCTTCATTTAGTTTTCCAAGCCAGTTTCCCCAGGCGAGCGGAGGGACAGACATGCATTCCCAGACATTCTTTTGTGGGAGCAAAATTAGATCACATATAAGAAATAACTTTGAAATTATATCAAGTAGTATTCAAATGCAAAGGGATATCATCCTTAGTAATATCATCATTGGTTATGAATCATTTTCATGCTGATTTGGTTAGTCATACAACTTTTTTTCTTTTAACAGCTGGTGAATCCGGATGACTTGGTAAATGTAGAAATTCTGGATCTGCAAAGCTGGTCAGAGGTAAAAATCACTAACATTTACCATTTACACAATGCTTTCACATACAGTATCCCAGGAGCTTTGAGAGAGAAGAAATATTATTGTTTCCAGTCTGTAGTTTAGGAAGGCTCAGAGTGGTTAGGTAACTGATCCAGAACTACAGAGCTAGTAAAGGTTTGGGCTGACAGTCAAAACCAAGCATTAGACTCCAAATCCAATTCGCAGTGTTGCTGCTTCTTAAGGAAGTGAAAACTCTCCTCCCATCCAACACACCCCCTCACACATACACTCACATACATTTACTCTGCAAGATTTGTGCCCAGTGGGACAACAGGAGGAGTGATCAGAATTGGAGAAGAATCCCAAATGCCAATATGTTCTAGAGATCAGGGGCTGTTTCTCTTTCTCTCTTTAAATGCTGCTAGAAGTGCAGGGGGCCTTTCTGGGTCGCTGGCCCATGGCTGGATCTGCTTAGCTTCCCTTAGTCCCTGGACTCAGACTGAATCTGCTTGTAGCAGGTGTAGAAAGCTCCTGTCCTGCTTAGGTGGAGTCTCTGGGGTGTCAGGCATACCCCTGATTCCTGCTCTTATCTTCTGTTGTCTGGTCTGGAGGTTTCTGCTGAGGGTGGCTAGGGAACCTCACCTGGGAATGCCCGCCCCCCCCCCCCAACAGCACTGCCAGACCTAACCCACCTTGGGTTCACAGCATCTCAGCTACTGGAGCTGCCAGTCTCGGATTACCTGTGGGGAGGGAGGACCTCTGTCCTGTGTGCAATGCAAGCCTGAGCTCTCCATCTGCTGCAGTGACTGTGGCAGCGTGGGCTCTTTGTGTCGGGATCCTTCCTCAGCTACTGGAGCTGCCAGTCTCGGATTACCTGTGGGGAGGGAGGACCTCTGTCCTGTGTACAATGCAAGCCTGAGCTCTCCATCTGCTGCAGTGACTGTGGCAGCGAGGGCTCTTTGTGTCGGGATCCTTTCCATTCACGGAGGGAAGTGGAGGATCACGCTGCCTGGCTGGGACTTTACAGAGGCTCAGGAAAGATGAACTGGCCCCATTCCTGCATCCCCTTTTGCTGGATTTACTTTGCTGTTTCCAGACTGAGAGGTGAGAGGCTGGTGGCATGTAACCACCTTAGCTCATCTGGGGCCATTTCTTTGGTGGGAGGGGAGTGGGGCAAAAATCATAGATGATCTGAGCGCAGGGAAGTGTTTCCTGTTTCTTACTGACCTGTGCTGATCTGGGAAGGTAATGCCAGAAAACAACTCGTTCATTCCTCCCCAAACTTGTCCTGAGCTGATGTTGAGCCACCCCCAATTTTAGACCTCAGTCTGGTGTTCTTTGTCTTGAAATACACACAACACTGAATGTTAATCTAGGTCCTTCTTTTTGAGCAGCTGTAGAAACAGCAGATGGAAAATATGCTCAGAAGTTGTTTCGTGATCTTTTTGAAGATTATTCTAATGCTCTTCGTCCGGTGGAAGACACAGATAAAGTCCTGAATGTCACGCTGCAGATTACACTTTCTCAGATTAAGGATATGGTGAGTAACATAGAGTGGTGACTCGTTAAAATGCTTCTTGGAATGAAACAACTGTGCTTTCCGAAGGGAATATCCTCCTTGGGAATTTGAGAGGAATGAGAGCAGACAGCTCTGTGTGTAAACTGGCAGAAGAAGGAAGGAAGCTTTCTACAAAACTAATTAATTTCACTCAATGTTACCTGATCCTGGTCATTCACTGTAACAGTCTTAGATGCTCTAAAGAAAGGTGTGTTACATATTGTATGATTCCATTGGATGAAATGTCCAAAATGCATAAATCCATAGAGACAGAAAGCAGAGTAGTGATTGCCAGGGGCCAGGGGAAAGGGGGGAAATGGCCAAGGACTGCTTAGTGGTTATGGGGTTTCTTTTTTGTAGTCATGAAAATATTCTTGAATTAGATAGTGGTGATGATTGCAGAGCATTATGAATGCATTGGAAGCCACCGAATTGTACACTTCTAAAATGGTTAAAATGGTGAGTTCTGTGTTGTGCAAATTTAATCTCAATTAAAAAAAAGAAAGGTGGTGTTTTAAGATGACATAGCTTATTTACTGCTTATATGTGTTTAATTGCACAAAAAACTTGAAGGATTTTTCTTCTGTACATTGTAGGTATTTCCTGACTTTCTCATTCAAGTGTACCATTAGTTGATCAATATCTAGAGAAATTTGAGCAGTTGATCTATGCAAAGATCTGAAGACTTAAATATTTGTCCACTTTACATTTTTTAAATTTTAACTTATCAATATACAATGTAGTTGATTTTGTGTTCCTTTACCAATTCCTCTTTTTCCCCCTCCCCCCCCCCACATCATATCTGTTCACTTGTCTTAACAAGTTCAAGTTGCTGTGATTATTGTGTCTTCTTCCCCCCATTTTTGGATTTATATATTTACTTATTTATTTTTATTAGCTCCCACACATAAGTGAGAACATGCAGTATTTCTCTTTCTGTGCCTGGCTTATTTCACTTAATGTAATTTNCCCCCCCCCCCCAACAGCACTGCCAGACCTAACCCACCTTGGGTTCCCAGCATCTCAGCTACTGGAGCTGCCAGTCTCGGATTACCTGTGGGGAGGGAGGACCTCTGTCCTGTGTGCAATGCAAGCCTGAGCTCTCCATCTGCTGCAGTGACTGTGGCAGCGTGGGCTCTTTGTGTCGGGATCCTTCCCATTCACGGAGGGAAGTGGAGGATCACGCTGCCTGGCTGGGACTTTACAGAGGCTCAGGAAAGATGAACTGGCCCCATTCCTGCATCCCCTTTTGCTGGATTTACTTTGCTGTTTCCAGACTGAGAGGTGAGAGGCTGGTGGCATGTAACCACCTTAGCTCATCTGGGGCCATTTCTTTGGTGGGAGGGGAGTGGGGCAAAAATCATAGATGATCTGAGCGCAGGGAAGTGTTTCCTGTTTCTTACTGACCTGTGCTGATCTGGGAAGGTAATGCCAGAAAACAACTCGTTCATTCCTCCCCAAACTTGTCCTGAGCTGATGTTGAGCCACCCCCAATTTTAGACCTCAGTCTGGTGTTCTTTGTCTTGAAATACACACAACACTGAATGTTAATCTAGGTCCTTCTTTTTGAGCAGCTGTAGAAACAGCAGATGGAAAATATGCTCAGAAGTTGTTTCGTGATCTTTTTGAAGATTATTCTAATGCTCTTCGTCCGGTGGAAGACACAGATAAAGTCCTGAATGTCACGCTGCAGATTACACTTTCTCAGATTAAGGATATGGTGAGTAACATAGAGTGGTGACTCGTTAAAATGCTTCTTGGAATGAAACAACTGTGCTTTCCGAAGGGAATATCCTCCTTGGGAATTTGAGAGGAATGAGAGCAGACAGCTCTGTGTGTAAACTGGCAGAAGAAGGAAGGAAGCTTTCTACAAAACTAATTAATTTCACTCAATGTTACCTGATCCTGGTCATTCACTGTAACAGTCTTAGATGCTCTAAAGAAAGGTGTGTTACATATTGTATGATTCCATTGGATGAAATGTCCAAAATGCATAAATCCATAGAGACAGAAAGCAGAGTAGTGATTGCCAGGGGCCAGGGGAAAGGGGGGAAATGGCCAAGGACTGCTTAGTGGTTATGGGGTTTCTTTTTTGTAGTCATGAAAATATTCTTGAATTAGATAGTGGTGATGATTGCAGAGCATTATGAATGCATTGGAAGCCACCGAATTGTACACTTCTAAAATGGTTAAAATGGTGAGTTCTGTGTTGTGCAAATTTAATCTCAATTAAAAAAAAGAAAGGTGGTGTTTTAAGATGACATAGCTTATTTACTGCTTATATGTGTTTAATTGCACAAAAAACTTGAAGGATTTTTCTTCTGTACATTGTAGGTATTTCCTGACTTTCTCATTCAAGTGTACCATTAGTTGATCAATATCTAGAGAAATTTGAGCAGTTGATCTATGCAAAGATCTGAAGACTTAAATATTTGTCCACTTTACATTTTTTAAATTTTAACTTATCAATATACAATGTAGTTGATTTTGTGTTCCTTTACCAATTCCTCTTTTTCCCCCTCCCCCCCCCCACATCATATCTGTTCACTTGTCTTAACAAGTTCAAGTTGCTGTGATTATTGTGTCTTCTTCCCCCCATTTTTGGATTTATATATTTACTTATTTATTTTTATTAGCTCCCACACATAAGTGAGAACATGCAGTATTTCTCTTTCTGTGCCTGGCTTATTTCACTTAATGTAATTTTCTCTAAATCCATCTATGTTGCTGCAAATGGTAGTATTTCACTCTTTTGACCACACCAGGCTCGGCTCCACTTTACATTCTGAACTCTAAATAAGGAAGATAATAAATGTGGCCTTGGTAGTCAATCAAGGGGATAGGAGTAAAAAACCCAAACTCTCGCTGATTTATTGAAAATAGATTAATGCGCTTGAAATTCCTGTTGTGAACAAGTTTCCTAAAGATAGAAGGCATTTGGTTGAAGTGTCTACTGAACAAAGTCACATACGGATTCGTTATATAGGATGAAAGAAACCAAATTCTGACCGCCTATTTATGGATCCGCCAAATCTGGCATGACGCGTACCTCACGTGGGATCGAGACCTGTATGACGGGCTGGACACCATCCGGATCCCCAGCGACCTGGTGTGGAGGCCAGACATTGTCCTGTACAACAAGTAAGTGCAAGCCAGAACTGAGGCTCTTCAGGGATAAACTTCAGAATTTAAACATAATGAGAAAGGAATGTTTAAAACATGCATAAAGGTAAGTATAAATCCATGTTCTGAGGTCCTAAAATAATGGTCATAAAATCTTAGATAATGAATGAAATAATAGGTCCTAAAAGCTTACAGCTGGGAGGAGACCATCAAATTCAGTCTACGTTCCCCTTTGTCAGGTAAGAAGTTGGAGGCTGTGCTAGTTTGCTGGGGCTGTCGTAACCAAGTAGCACAAATTGGTGGCCTAAACAACAGAAATGTGTCACCTCACGATTCTGGCAGCATTGGTGCCTTCTGTAGGCCGTGAGGAGGAGGAGTCTGTTCCGTGCTTCTCCTTTGTTTTGCTGCCATCTGTGGTGTTCCTTGGAATGTGGAAGCATCACTCTGATCTCTGCCTTCATCTTCACCTGGCATTCTCCCTGTGTGTTTCCTGTGTCAAAATTTCCCCTTTTATAAGGACACCAGTCATACTGGATTAGGTGCCCACCCTACTCCAAAATGGCTTTATTGTAACTTAATTAATTACATCTGCAGTGACCCTATTCTCAAATAAAGTCACATTCTGAGTGCTGGGGGTAAGACTTCAATCTATGAATTCTTGAGGAATGAAATTCACCCAGTAGTAGTGGTGCTCACTGTCCAAAGTCATGTATGAACAACAATACTACTAAAATTAAGTCAGAATGAGCTATCTGGAAGCTGGCCTATGCATTTTGGACTCCGTGTGGAGTGGAGGATGAACTAGACCACAGGACACCAGTTGGCCTGTTCCTGGTCTCAGAGCAAGGGGCCTTGTGTAGAAGGGTAGGGAAGGTTTATGTTTCTCAGACTGTAAAATACACACAAATCCCCCACGGCCCTTGTCAAATACAGATTTGGAAGGCTTTGGAAGTATTTGGTGGGCCCTAGGCAACCGCTGCAGGTTTTGAGCTGTAAAATGATATGATCAAAAAAAACCCTGGAGGCAAAAAGATACAGGTCATGAAGTGATTAAATACTAATATCTTTATACTACTGCTCAGTAGCTGGGATGATATTTTTGATCTGAGGGTCCCTTGCCCTCTGGCTTCTGTTTGGCGTTGGCCAATGGGGAGCTCCAGTGGGCAACTGCAGGGAGAAAAGACAGTGAGGTGAGGTGTATATTCCCTTGCTCCCTTCTATGGAGTGATCTTTGGCTGGATATGTCCCTTGACAGAGACTCCTATCATGACGACTCTCTTCATGCAACTCTTTCCTTCCAGGTTCTGGTAACTGCACCTTCCCTTCACCTCTTCAGGCCCAGGAATGGTAATAGCTCTGTTGTTACCAACCTCAGTGTGGTTTCCCAACATCTCTTTTTTTTTGGTGGCTGGCCTGTATGAGGATCCAAACCTTTAACCTTCTGTCAATATGCTGGCTTTGACTTTTGACCTTAGCATTATCAGCACCACGTTCTAACCAAATGAACTAATAGGCCAGATCGTTCTCCCTACCTCTTGTCTGTACCTTTGTAAATAGTCCCTTTATTAAACTGTCCTCCAATTATTTACTTTGAGTGGGCCGTCCGTTTCCTGTGTGGACCCTAACTAATACAATTGTTCCAGCTCCAAATAGATTCCCTCTGATCCCCGGATTGCTCCTCTTACACCAAGGAAGCAGGATGGGTGAGTGGTCTTCTCAGTTGCTGTAGACTGGACGCCCCCCACCTCACTGAAGCTTAATCCTCACTGTAAATGTTGAGGGTGAGGAATCCTACTGTGGTAATTGAAAGCTGGGGCCTTGAAGAGGTGATTAGATTGTAGGACTGTGCCATAGTAAAGGATTAAAAATGTAGGTTAGGAAAAGCCTAGATGCTGATAGGAGTTTAGAAGACAGGAAAACGAGGGAAAGTTTGGAACTTCTTAAAGACTGGTTAAACAGTGGTGAGCAGAATGCTGATGGAAATATGGACTGTAAAGACCATTCTGAGAAGATTGCAGATGCAAATAAGAAGAGACATATTATAAACTGCGGCAAAGACCACCCTTGCTATGAACTGGCAAGGAACTTGGCTGCATTGTCTCCATGCCTAGGACTTTGTGGAAGTTAGAACTTAAGAGTTGTGGGCCGAGCCCGTGGCGCACTCGGGAGAGTGCGGCACTGGGAGCGCAGTAGTGCTCCCGCCATGGGTTTGGATCCTATATAGGGATGACCGGTGCGCTCACAGCGCTCACTGGCTGAGCGTGGTGTGGCCAGTCTCAAAAAAAAAAAAAAAAGAACTTAAGAGTTGTGAACCAGAATATTTGGTGGAAGAAGTTTCTAAGTAGCAGAGCATTAAGAAACCTGCATGGCTACTTGTAACAGCCTATGCTGAGTTACGGTGGCAAAGCCATGACATAAAGTCAGAATTCGAAAGGGAAGCAGAGCAGAAAGATTTGGAAAATTTGCAGCCTGGCCATGTGGTAGAGAAGTAGAAAGCATTTTCAGAAGAAAAATGCAGTGGTGCTAAGATGATTAGTACAAAAGAAAAGGATTATCAAGAGAAGGGAGAAAAGGCCCTGAAGGCATTGCAGAAGTCTCTGGGACCAACCCTTCCATTTCAGGCCCCAAAGCCTAGGGAGACAGAATGGCCTTGGGGAAAAGGCCTGAGGCACCTTCCACAGGCTTGCTGCCCAGGATCACCTTGGGATGCTGCTTCCCTCTTCTCTGCTGCTCTAGCCTTGGCTAAATTGGCCCCAGACATGGCTGGAGCTGCAACTTTGGAATATACAAGCTGGAAACCTTGGCAGCGATCACATGGTGTTAGGTCTGCAGACTCACAGAATGCCAGAGCTGTGAAGGCTTAGGAGCCTCCACCCCATTTTCAAAGGACGTATGGAAAAGCGTGGGGGTCCAGGAAGAGATCTGTCACAGGGGCAGTCACTGCATAGAACCTTTGCTAGAACAATGATGATTGGAAATGTGGGGTTGGGGCCGGACCGTGGCTCACTCGGGAGAGTG